TCATCTATTTTCCTCTTCGTTTTATTTGAATAATACCTTCCACGTTTATGAATGGGATGCCCTAATAGAATGGATAGAAAACGAATGGCGTGCCTCGAACAACAATCGAAAATGAATTGGTTCCAGGGTTTCTTACCATTTTTTGTTTTTTTCAACTATTCGGACTATCCAGTACCCATCCATACCAGTCCAATGCGAACCTTTACGATCCCAACTGTTGCGTGTGCAAATCTAAAGCCACATTCTATGCTTGTTTGATGAGCCTAGCTAAACTCGCCATCGCAGCTCTCTCGTTTACCAACGTCGACTTTGTGAAATTGTTTCAGAGAAGCGATGCAGTCGATGCTTTCAAAGTATGCAGGAACCAGTAAGGCTCACAGAGACGAGTCAAACGGCGACTGGCAGAAGCGAACCGTTGACCTGCGAACTGGTAAGAGCTGATGTTGTAAAGTGTGGCTGCTATAATACCGTGACTAACTTAGGTGCAAATGTGGTTAGCTGGACGGTAACGAACAGCGCTGGATCGAAGGCACCATCGGAGCCAATTCGAATCTCGAGAATTGACATTCTTGGTGAGTGTTTGACAGTTTCCGGTACGATGGATGATCTCGATGACTTTTGTTTGCTTCAGGTTTGGCATTCACCCGAGAATGCTCACTGTGCCCTCCGGGCACGTCATCTGATGGTGGTGCGGCTGAATGTACACCATGTGGTCCGGGATTTTATGCTCCTAAAGGGGCCGCAAAGTGTGGACGATGTCCACAGACCCATTATTCAGGTAAAGACATCCCTTGATTGTCTTCTTTGGAGACTCCTTCTGCATAATTCGCTTGGTCGGCCTGTTGATGTTACGCGTGTCAGTACCTGACCAGAGACTCACAACATCGCTCGCATTAGCGGCAGAACTTTTTTAATGTGATGGATGATGTAAAGTCACAGTGAAAGGTGGCGCAGTTCGGCGACGAGGGGGCATTTTGTACTATCATTGCTTCCTTAGTTCCGGTTTACAAGTCTCACTCTGTGAACTCTTGTGAAGCTGGAGCAAGGTCGTCAAGCCATCATGTTAAAACCTGTCAACTCGAGAAGAGGCTGTCTAGATAGGTCGACATCGATGGGAAGTAGCAAAAGTGCGAAATGCCCCCCCCCCTCTGTCGCCGTACTGCCTGAAAGATGCTAAAAGGAAGTGATAACAAGTGATAAATCCTAATGAGATACCGTCGGAAGTGAAGTGCAACAGTAGCCATGACGCGATTCGCAACCAAACCTATCTACACTCGGGTTCGGTGCGGACGATGGGGCATGTCAGTGCGGCTGCGTTTGGCCCGGTACCAGAGCCGTTTTCCACTAGTTGTTGAACGAGTTGGTGGCAAGACTGCATCATATCGTTCGTATCGGTCGTTTTTCACCAATTATCATCGCTTATCTGCTTCAACAACCAATGGAAAACGGATTTATCGCGGCAAATGTGCAGCAAAGACACGCCCCATCACTAGTAGGGAACTAGCTGTAGGCCCCGAAAAGTGAGGCGGGATGGGCAAGTTTGTGGTAAATGCCAGAAAGTGATAATATCCGATAGGGACTGTCGTATCAATACAAGGGATAAGAGCATCTCAACTCCTGAATATCTCACTTTTTTACCTGTATAGTAAAGTAAAGTTGATGACGTTGCAGTCAGTCGGGGCGGTGCTAGGAGGGGCGGAATGAACCCGTCTCTGGTCGACATGTTCTTCCAATGGTGATCGGCTAGCGAACTACTCAGGAAGAAAACTACCAGTGCTACAAACATCACGGGAGGGCTTCTTGCATTATTCTCGAGACCGCCTCGACTGACTGCGACGATATCAACGGTAGATGAACTCGGTTTCCATCTCCCTTGTCCTTTGTGGGTTCAACAGTCCATCAATAATTGAGTTGGCTGTTTGCCTGTTGATGATAGTGAAACTCATATGCTGGATTTTTCATTTCAATTACAAACTACTTGGCAATTTAGGTCCGAAGGCCGAGCGCTGTATGGAGCGTCCAGCATGTCGCCCAACGGACTATTACCCTGTGACTGAACCTTGTACAAATGGGACCACACGTACCTCTTACAAGAAAGTACAGCCAGCTGTGTGTCGTGCTGACGTGTTGGGTGCTGCTACGGTAGGCTATGATTTCAGCTTTGAATGTCTGTATTATAGAGAATGATCGAAACTCCTCTCAAAACAGTGATTTTTCAGATGCCTGCGTCAAGCGCTACAAGAGCCTGTCCACCATGCAATCCCGGTATGGCCAAGGATGCCAACGGCATCTGTGTATTTTGTCCTCCAGATCACTATTCACAGGGAGACGGTCAGTCAGTTGACGCTCATCAAAAAATCTTTCGGGCCATTTCGAATGTTTCAGCCTGTAAACGCTGCCCCGTTGATACTGTACCCAACTATGGCTATGAATACGTTGCATGGGACACTATTCCACCCAATATTGTCACTCGCTGCGAGTACATTAGTGAAGGTATGAATCTGCTATAAATTTCAAATCCTCGATAAAGCTTTAGTTTGCGGGGGAGACGTCTTTGTCTGAGCCCTCTCACCTACACATGGTTAGCGTCGGCTAGCGATTAGAAACTTTTGGAGTGGTTCTGGGCAAGTTTCGTGGGGAAAAAAGTATCGTACATATACTTTCTAGAGTCCCAGTCTACAGCTTCGGGAAGATGTGACAATTTAGAAGCATATCGGGACAATATCTAGCGTGATATACGGATTGGGGGAGGCAGTAAAAAGGACTTTTCCCTCGCGTCATGTACCATCAAAGTTCACTTCGCACAGAGTGGCAAGATACATGGAAAATACATGGTGAAATATTGTAAAGATGTTCATCTATAAGCACTGATGAATTCACGTCGCCTCCATCGGTGAAGTTACCTTCGGAGGCGGGGGCAGCCTTCTGAGGCGTTATAGCAAGCGCACAGCAAATGTCGAGCATCGGTAGCTGCTCTCGCGAGGAGGAGTTTCATGCTTGGGCATTCGACCGCGTGATGAGGCTTAAAACAGTTTTCGGCGCATGATGGCGACAGATAACTCGTTATTGGAGATACGCTTTTGGATAGAGTAGGAAACCGTTGTATGTCCACGCCCGACATACGACCGGCTCTGAAGAATGGAGGTGGGCCTGTTGGTCATTTAACCGAGGCGGTACTTGGACCATTTGCAAAAGTGGGGCACGTATGATCGTTGCTATCCAATTTTAATAAAATCCATAACATACTTATTGCGTGCCTGTGGTGGAAATTAAGTGGTTGCAAGCAACTATGCTAACGCAAACTATCCAGATATATTGGGCGTCATGTCAAAGGTTTATTCACCGTAGACTTGTAGTTAAATGAAGTCTTAAGCGGCGGACCCGATTCCATAACTGAAGTTGTATATTTCATCGGGCGTTGCCGCCACAGCATTACCTTCCGATAATTAATTCGGGTCTTGCCTCTTTTTGAGTAAATTAATGTGTTTAAAGAAGTTAACACGTATGTGATATCGAGAGCGGTGGATGCATCAGCACAGCCCTTGTCGCTCCTTCTGTGCAAAAGGTACGAGTGATTGCCCTGGATTCGAGCTACAATCATCGGAGGGTATCAACACGAGCAGCAAGCTGACCGTTTTATCAGTGGTTTTTCCTCGAGTCTAGATAGGGATTTAATTGAGCGTTCACCAGTGTAATAATTTGCTGCTTTTGATTCAGGGATTGTTAGTATACCCGACGTAAGTACACAAAACACTGTTCTCAAAGAAAGGTGCGGAATGCAGATGTGCCCACATCACAGTAGGGCTATTTCATGTAATGGCCTGTCTTCATGATCGTACGTGCGAAGCATACGCCATCGAGGCTCACTGCGAGCTGTTGGTAGTGTACATATTAGAATTAGATGACACTAAAGATTAGAGCAACCGTATACACTTATGATTAATTCAATTCGCCCATTGTGCATAAATCGTACAGGCAGAAGTGGCCATCTGACCTATGGGTTGATAACTTGCCCTGTCTGCCCGTTGCTTCCACTCATAATCATATGTGGGAGGTATGGATAGTAACTGTGCTCAGTGAGAATTACGGATCATATTGGAGTATAGTTCGATCAACTTTTAACTCCACACAAGTTCATCTCCACGGCAGAGGAGGTATGGGCAATCTTCGTTCTCAGGATTTTAGTGCAATACTACGGGTGTTTCTTGTTGAGATTATGGGCAGTTTCACATCTTTGGTTTTGGTTGAGTTTCGTTTTTGACGCATTGTATCACGGCCTTGCTTTAGCATTGACAGTTTTAATTGAGTAAAATATTCAATCAAATTACCAAGGTTTTCAATCCCATGGCTCCACCCGATCTTCTGGCGTCTCCTCAGGCACCAGTCGCACACTTTTCTATAGTTTTTGAGACCAACTGCGCTGACAGCTCATGTGTGCTGTACGTGATTGAGGTGAGACTAAACGGCTGTCCTTCCCCACCTCTCAATAAAGACCAACATAAAAAAATTACAGAGTCCGATGGAGCACACAAAAACGTCACAGTATCGTTTCTTAGCTGCTTTCAATGGAAGTCAGCCACGACGGGTATGGTCGCACAGCATCCTCAAACGAAGCAGTGCCAGATTCATGGTGAGCGCTTTCTGCTAAGACTCTTTCATGCCGAAGTGGCTAGCTTCTATCGGTGCGTCACACCTTAGTACAAAGTCACGCTATAATATTGCGCGTGCACTGAGATGTTCGAATCTCAGAAGATTTATGAGAAAAATGAAGTGATGCTCATGGATTAGCTAGAGAATCCTCTGAAGGAAAACATCAAAAAGCTGGCAAATGGGTGGAAGAGGAGCCTCACGTGGCAAACAACAGAAAAGTTGCTGTAAGCTTCATTTGTGGGATTCACTCTGATTGGTTTCCGAAGTGCAAAAGAAATGAAACGAAGAATGACTAGTATTATGACATGAAGGAACGGTATCCAATGCAGGAGGTTATGTAGGAAAGTAGTTTAGTCCGCAGTGGACAACCCTGTGCCAGTTTCGCGGCGGAAAGTTGTACGGTAAAGGAATTAAGGCGCAAAGTTGCTTCAGTGGTACATCCCTTTTCCAGTGACTCCGCCTCCAGACTCCGCCTCCAAAGTCCGCCTTCCATCCAATGCAATGCTACCGAGCAATAGCTCGAAGTGGGTGCTCCATTGTCTCTTGCAGAGTCATAGGGCTCATTACAAGGAATCACCCGACAGGACTCGTCCCAGCGCGCGGTCTTTCGGTCTTTTACCCGTACAATAGTTTGAAGCTGGAGGAGTCCTAATAAATGCGTTTCCAACGTTTCCCTTGGCATTTTCTCTACATAGACGAGTCACTTGGCAAATTTCCTTCCATAATTCAACACCATAATCTACACTCCTTATCGCGGGCCATGCCTCTAAAGGCAAAGCCCGCGATCATTCCGTCATCACAGATAGTGGGCTAGGAGTTCGCATATAGACGACAAGTTCTGAGTAACTCGATAGTGAAGAAAAAAGCAGAAAAAAAACATGCCAACTGCCCTAATAGAACCCCATTTCGATCCCAGTTTGTACGTGCCCAATCAACTCCATCTCCAGCACTACGCCCTCATCCGCACAGCTGATTCCCGATAAGAACTCTACGACCGTACAAGTGACGATTTTCATGCTTTTTCGTCCTGCAGCTTCGTTTTTCACTGAAAGGCGGGCCTTGAAGGCGGAGTCTGGAGGCGGAGTCACTGGAAAAAAGGAGGCGTCACTGAACCTATATTGCGCTATAGCGCCCCTCCCTTACAATTTTTTGCCGCGAAACCGGTACAAGGTTGTTCGTCGCGGGCCACACTACCCTCCCGACGCCATATTTTCAACTTCGATACCTGATCGCGGACCGTACCTTCAATAAACGCTCGCGAATATCTGAATCTTCAAAGGTACACGATGCACGATGGGCAGAGACTTACTAACACTGTCTTCATTGGAACACACTTCTCTTCCCAGTGTTGGAACGATGACCACATTATGGAGGAAGGCACGAAATCTCTGCCCACACGTTTATCACGAATGTGACTCTAACATTACTGATGCACGAAAACGAAATATTATCGGTTAAAGGTACGGCCCGCGATCAGGCATAGAAGTTGAAAATATGGCACTCGGAGGTTAAAGTGGTCCGCGACGACCAACCTTTCGCCGGTTTCGCTGTCAAAAATTGTAAGGGAAAGGGCGCTATAGCGCAATGTACAGTAACGCTTCCTGGTCTCCATTGACTTCGACAAGACTCAGCCTTCGAGGCTCGCCCTTCAGTGGAACACGAAACTGGAGGACTAAAAAGCATGAAAATCGTCACTTTTACGGTCGCAGGGTTCTTATCGGGAATCAGCTATGCGGATGAGGGCATAGTGTTGAAGAGGAGTTAATCGGGCAAGTACTGACTGGGATCTGGATGGGGTTTTATTTAGAGCAATTGACATATTTATTCTTTTCTTTTTTTCTTCACAGTCGAGTTAGTGAGACTGAGTTGTCGTCCATATGCACTATCTGTGATGGCCAGTGCTAGCAGACTTTGCCTTTGAGAACACGACCCGTTGCGCTCTGTTTTGAAGTCACATCCTATGCTAGTCGTTGGGCCCAGCTAGGCCCGCCATCGTACCATTGCTAGAAAAGGGTTATGTGCCATCTTGAAGACAGCTCCCGCGATAAAAGTGGCAAGGAATAATTGCTGATCAATTATGAAACAGTAGCTGATAAGTAATTCCTCAATGAGGGAAAAAAGCAACAAGAGCCCTCAAGAACACCACAAACGAAATTGCTCCCTTACAGTTACACCCGCCCTGCGATCCGTGGGCAACCCCTGGCTCGAAAATCTCTTATCACATCTCTCAGTAGTGGATATCATCCAATGCAATGAAAAGAATACGAAAAACAATAAAAACTCGGAAGAAAAACTCCTGAAAGGCAAAAAAAACTTTAAAGACACGGCGTCCGAATTTGGGTTACGGTAGCGAGCGGCTTTTAGTGCATGTTGCTAGTCGAGCTTTTGCACCACAAAAATTGCATCACTCGTGATTTTATGCGTTTTACCTTACGAGATGGTTGCATTTGACTGTATGTGCTCTCAATGAATGAAATGTGATAAAGGAGAGCAGAGTTATCTAAGGGCACCATCGCGGTCTGCAAAAATGACTTGCAATCCCGAGTATTGCCCGCCGTCCCAACAAAGAGCAACTGAGCGGCTCTCCGTCAGAGGGCAGCTAGCAAGTGAGGCGGTCCAACTGAGCGGGCGTTAGAACTATTAGGTCGTTGCAAAAGAAATGCAGGATTTCGTTTTTTTGTATTTAATACTTATTCCAATAAAATGTAAGTGTTATATATCATTCGAAAGCTTATCTAATGCTCTTTCTAAATGATACTTCAAGATTGGTTGTAATTCTTTTTAGAGGCCACAAAATCGTTGAAGGCGTTTTTGGCATCGTCTTGGTTTTGAAGCATTTCTCTTTAAGATAGTTGTCCAGATGCTTGAAAAAGTGGTAATCGGTGGGCGACAGGTCTGGTGAGTATGGTGGATGAGGCAGAGTTTCATAGCCCAATTCGTTTAACTTCTGGAGGGTCGAGCATTGTGTTCGAGCACACGTGTGGTCGGGCATTGTCGTGGAGAAGAATAGGTATTGACCAACCTTGGGCACATGCGTTGAAGCTTCTGATGCATTTCGTCGATTTGTTGACAGTACTTCTCTGCCGTAATTGTTTCACCAGGATTCAGGAAGCTGTGATGGATGAGACCGGCGGCAGACCACCAAACATGAGGTTCATCTTCAAGGCTGGTGTTGCCAGAACGAAACTTCTGGAACCAACGTTGGACCGTACATTCGTTGACACTTCCTTGACCCCAAACTTCGTTAATGTTTCGAGCTGTCTCGCAGCGTTTCGGCCTAGCTTGAACTCATAGAAGAAAAAATAGTGCGAAATTCACGTTTTGACATCTGCAATAAAACGTCAATAAAAATGATAATAAAAAGAATTACAACCAATCTTGAAGTATCATTTAGAAAGAGCATTAGATAAGCTTTCGAATAATATATAACACTTCATATTAAAGTAACATTTTATTGGAATAAAATAAGTATTAAATACAAAAAACAAAATCCTGCATTTCTTTTGCAACGACCTAATACTACCTGTACAAGGAAAGACGACCATGGACTACTCGAGCGCGGGGGCTGTCTTTGAACGTGCGCAGCAGCTGTTAAACCATCGAAATGCGCAGGGAACATGTCGCAAGGCAGGGAATCCGATTTTTCAAGGGGAGGGGACTTGGACATAGGTGGACAAGGATTGAATGAAGTCACTGTGACCACAGAATGTTGTACGGACGATAGAGCTCAGAGAGAAACTGAAGATCGACGTATTCAAAGCGATTAACTTCGAGCTGCCTATAGAAATCAGAGTAAGTCGCGGCATGAGGCCTTTTGACTCCTCTCGTTGACCAAATTGTGCCTTTCTGCTTTTAATGAGATCTATAAAAACTGAGTGTGACGCAGTTCTTATGACTTTTCATCGATGGTGTACAGAAGAATGCTAGCTGTGTTCAGAATTGCCCATAGGGTGGTGTTGTTTGACCCATAGACACGTGCGGCTGCGATGCGGCTTTTCTGGCTGGAACCTACAAGTTTCTAACACATGATATGGAGGGCAGCAGAGCCATTGTAACATAATGAACCGCTAAAGATTATCCACCATTGTGCTGTTAGTCTCTTGCTACTGTAACGTGCAAGTTGCTCCGCGACCGCACCAATTCCTGCAAATGTCTGCAAATCTTACTATGAACGAAACGATGAAAATGAGATGTGACCTCTAACGGGCCTGCTCATTGCTATTAATAGTTAACGATATTATGTTCAGGTAGCCTTTCTCCGTTCCGGTTCAACATCCGGTGAAGATTCGATTCTGGATCAAGCTCGAATTTTGTCGATGAATATCACGAATATTGGATCAAAAGGAGGAGTTCAAGGTGGTGGGGCTAGCCGATGTCTCCCATGCCCAGTTGGTCAATTTGGTCAATGCGTACCATGTCCACCAGGACATTACATGACACCAAAAGTAAGTAATCACTCATTTCACCAATAATCCACTCCATATCCATAATCCACGCCAATAATCCACTGTTTTCATGATACGTTTTAAGGGACACGAATGCGTCGTTTGCCCGATGAATACTATCGTGAACACGTCTTCGGATCGGGTTGGGGTGCAGAGCTGTGTGCGATGCGGAGAGAACCTGCACTCGTTGGACGGAGTTACCTGCACTTCTGGTGGATTCATTATCGTTGACAAAGATAATCGGACACTTAATTATGATTTGACGTCGTGGCTTAATAAGTAAGTTTGAGCACCTTTCCTAGGTCTTGATGTCACGACATTTTTCACTCTTTCTCATCTTATCTATTTCTCTGTCTTCTCTTTGTGAAGAGGACGGATTCAACCACCCACTTGTATGCTCCTTTTCATTTGGGCCCCTACGATTCTCTATGCCCCACAAATCCTATCGCAGTCCTATGTCATCGTCGGCGTGGGGGTGAACGGTTTTGGACTGTTCCAAAAACGTACCAATGCGGAGGGTGCCACGTCAGAGCCTGGCGAGCTACGCGTGGTTAATTTTCTTCTCGCCGAAAACAGTAACAACTATGGGCCTCATTCCCCTGAAGCTGAGGGAACCACCGACAGGGCGACGTCGGCTGGGACCGCTCGGACGAGGCTGCTAAAATCACAGGGCCAACGGAGTTTTAAGTCGCCCAGGACTAGGATGACGATCTGTACTTTCAACGCACGGACGCTTGCATCGGAAGCTCACATCGAAGATCTGATGTTGCAAGCCAGGAAGATCAAGTACGACGTCATCGGACTGACCGAGACGAGGAGGCATCGCCCGCTACACGCCGTGTACGAGACTGGAGAAGAACTGTTCCTCGGAACATGCGACAGCAGAGGCGTTGGCGGTGTGGGCGTCCTCGTCAACACGAGGCGCAGGCTTGGCCATGAAAAGTCATCTGAGAAGTTCGTACGAAACGTCTGACGACCCGAATCGGAGTGTACATTGGATTGGTTTAGTGCCGATTGGGATTAGTGGTTCTGAAACTCGCAAGCGTTTGGAACAATCATTCGTCGCATGACCGCACGTAAGACATCAGAGCATAACGGACGAGGATGGAGCTTCGAAGGCGTTCTATATGGATGATTGAAGAGAAGTTCTACAGGGAAGATCATACCTTCTTCAAGGTCATCGTCGGTGATTTCAACGCTAAGATCGGACCAAGAAGAACGGCTGAAGAACTTCATATCACAGAACTCTCACGGAACGGAGTGGAATGAGCAGGGTGAAAGGCTAGTCTGAGTTTGGAGTCACAGTGTCGACCCACACCATCCATGGTAACTCGCAGTTCCAGAAGCCCTACTCTCTACGCTGGACATGGGAGTCTCCTGGTGGACAATTCCATAACGAGATCGACCACATCATCTGCAATCGAAGGTTTTGCCTAACCGATGTCGCTGTTGTCCCCAAGTTCTACACGGGATCCGACCATCGTCTCCTTCGCGCAAGATTCCGCTTTTCGATGCGAGGAGAGAGAGCCGCAAAAGTTCAAGAAGCGAAGCCCCAAGACCACCATCAACTGGGATCACTTCACTTCTCTCGCTAGGCTCTGGGAGGATTCCTGTCTAATTGTGACGACTATCTGACGAGGAATACGAACGGCTTGTTGCACATCTTCACGACTGCGCCAAGAGGTCAGAGGGTTCCAAGATGACCAAGAAGCGTCTATCTCTGGAAACTCTCGAGCTGATTCGCCAACGTGGAGCCGCACGAGCCGCGCAGGGCAATTACCAGCTTGACGTCGAGTTTGCGGAAGCTATGCAGAGAAGCGATAAAGGAAGACCTCAAGGAGAGAAGAGCAGCAGTACTGGTGGAAGCCGCAGAGGCTGGGAAGAGCGTACGCAACGCCCGCCGCGACTTCGCCAACTGTAAGACTAAGATGACCGCCCTCCGACGTCCGGATGGAACAATCACCGCATCCAGAAGGGCAATGGAGAAGGTCATCCACGACTTCTACTCGGATCTCTTTGACAGCCACGTCCACCTGCAACCATACCGCTTGGAGCAGGATGGATATGTCGTTCCTGCAGTTCTCTCTTCCGAAGTCCGACACGCCATCTCGTCGGTGAAGAATCGTACGGCACCCGGTCCCGACAGGATCAGACCCGAACATCTGAAGAATCTCCGCCAGTTCTCGTCAAAACTCTGGCTCGACTCTTCACGCGCTACCTGTCGGAATGCAAGGTACCCACCTCGTGGAAAACCAGCAAGACTGTGTTGCTGTACAAGAAGGGAGACCTGTACGACATTGGCAATTATCGCCCAATCTGCCTGCTGTCTGTAGTCTACAAACTCTTCACACGAGTCATCCTGAATAGGATTGGCAGAACACTAGACGAAGGACAGCCATGCGAGCAAGCAGGGTTTCGAAGAGGATTCAGCACGATCGATCACATCCACACGGTAACGAAGCTCATTGAAGTATCGCGAGAGTACAAGATGCCGTTATGTCTCACGTTTATCGACTTGAAGAAAGCTTCACTCGTAAGCATCGAAGGTTAGACGAGCGGTTATCGAAGCCCTGGCAACCAGGGTATTCCTACTCAGTACATCAGGATTCTTCGTGAGCTCTACAGCAACTTCACGACCAAGATTTCACCATTCTACAAGGAGATCATCATTGATGTGAAGAGAGGGGTCCGACAGGGCGACACCATCTCGCCCAAGCTCTTCAGCGCCTCTCTCGAGAACGTCATGCGTCAACTGGAATGGGAAGACATGGGAGTGAAGATCGACGGTCGGCAACTACACCATCTCCGCTTTGCTGACGACATCGTTTTGATAACGCCAAACATCGAGCAAGCGGAACGAATGCTGGCTGAATTCGACTGCGCGTGTGGAAGAATCGGTCTACGGCTGAACCTAACGAAGACGATGTTCATGAGAAACGGATTGGTATCTGATGCCCCATTCACGCTCAACGGAACGACCATCTCTGAATGCTCTAGCTATGTGTACCTAGGTCGTGAAATCAATATGATGAATGACCTAGCTCCAGAGAAACTGAGCAAGGATGGACAGCGAGAGCGGTTTGGGGAGCCTTCAAGAACATCGAGGGAGTAGCGAAGAAGACGAAGAACACCAAGCTCCGTGCCCACCTCTTCGATTCCGCGGTCCTTCCTGCCTTGACGTACGCCTCAGAGACTTGGACTCTACGAAAGCAGGATGAGCATGCGGTCGGCGTTATTCAACGCGCCATCGAAAGGGCGATGCTCGGAGTTTCCCGCTACACGCAAGTGAGAGAGGGAATCCGGAGCTCCGCACTCCGCCAACGATCGAAGATCAGAGACGCCGCCGCATTTGCCAAGGCTTCGAAGATCAGGTGGGCCGGACACGTCATGCGTTTCGAGGACGACCCGCTGGACCAGAGCAGTCACCGACTGGATTCCACGGATTGTCAAGCGAACGCCTGGACGACCGCCTATGCGATGGTCAGACTTCTTCGTGAAAGCTCTGAACGAACGGTATGAAGTTCATCGTGTCCCTCGAGCTGAGAGAGTTCATTGGGCAACTCTTGCACGTTGCAGGGACGAATGGAGACGTTACTGGCGCCCGCTCGAGGAACTCGATGATCAACGGGAGCACAGGTGATACAGGTGATACGCTCTCTATGCGATTCTCCGTTCCCTTGTTTACGGCTTTTATATTTACAATTGAATACTGAGTGTTAGCATCCCTTAGCATTTTCTGGTGTCAATAACCTTACGGGGGGGAGGGGGAGAGCGGACTCCTAGTGCCGAACCGGGACTGTCGGCAAACCAACACTTGCCGTGCTTTAAACTGATTCATTCACCCTGGCTCCTTCAACCAAGAAACCCAAACCTGAGGGGAACATACGACCCTCTTCTCACGCCGTTCATGAAACAAGAAAAATCAACTATAAAAAAGAATTTTCATTGACCAAATACTACCTCCCCTCCCCCACAGCGACCGAATACGACCCCTCCCCCCACTGTCGGGGAATCTTCAACGATGATATGCCCTGTTTTCTCATCCACTGTTTGATCCTTTTTTGCAAATTGCAACTTTGCTGATTTTGCAAATGATTATAGCACAGTGAGAGAGAAGCTTCCAAGCTTATTCTCAGGGGAGACGGGCAATAGAATCGTAATTGCCGCTCCGTCGCGCGCGGCAATGGGCGCGACGTTCCCTTGATTTGCACTACCCTTTCGATTGGAGCATCGGATTTCATGTAGACAAGGACATGGTAGACACTTATGTCTATTTTTGGTCATACATTGTCTATTCTCGACCAATACCACCTAAATCGTCGTCATTAGCGGGCGCGACGTCGCACGCGACGCCCACTGGCACGGCGAATTACGATTCTCTTGCCACATACTCTGGTTAGATCATTCAGCATAAATTTTCCAAGTGGGAGTCATATATAATGGAGCGTTATAACCGCAAGTGCGGACTAGATATCGCGCAGCCATTGCGCTTGCATCACAGGCACACTTTCTTTTCGCCATGTTGAAAGAAGTGCGCTCCCTCGCCCCCGTCGCGAAATGTGTTTCAAGCCGTATTTGCCCCCAAAGCACACTCTACGGTGTTAACATGGGCGGAGACGGGCCTGCATAAGCCTTCCCTTTGCTGCAAACCGGTTTTTATGGCAGTGAAGAAGAGGAGCTTGCCAACGGTGAAGATACGATAGAAGACTTGGCTCCGGCCATACGACGAGCATGGAATGTGTTTTTATGAAAGACCCCTACTGATGTAACTGCTGAGTCGGTCAAGCTTCATGTTATGCCGTGGAGCGCTGGTCGTACTGGGTTTAGGGGCATTTTACACGCTAGTTCATCTAAATCTTTCTGCTGAGACATGTTAACTAACAGGACTCACTTCGGTAATAGCTGTAAACTGTTGTAAAGCTTCGACTGAAATACTTGTGAACCACCTTGCTGACAGGGCACGTGTTCTCCAAAGGGGCCTGTACAAGCTTTGCCCAACACTTCTTGGTATCCCCACCAAGTCGAAGTGAGCCCAATGAAGTAAGCGACACAACTTTTAACCACATCCATTCTTGAAAGAAAAAACTCTCACGCCTCTCTCACGGTTGTTACCTGCCTGAAAAAAAACGCTGAAGCTATCTCTGATATAATGCCGTTGACCATACATTTCATGTGATCATTCCAGAACATGGACCACTACGGGAGTGAAAGTATTCGCAAGAGAAGGAGCTTCTTACTACCATTCCTTCAATTTCTCGCTATTCGGCGAAAAAGTGCAATGTCAAGAAGTGTACGACTCTAGCAATGCGTTCTCACTCAGCGAACAGGTTTGTACCTACCCTTTCAAAATATGTTCGCACATTACTAACCTTTTTTCTGTGGTCCTTCCCACGCCGATACAGCCTTTTTGGGCGCTGTTCGGCGACGAGAGGGGGGGCATTTTGCACTTTCACTGCTGCACTAGTTCCGGTTTCAGGTTTCACTCTGGTAAAGCCTGTGAACTCTTGTTAAGCTAGAGTAGGCTCGTCGAGCTACCATGATAAAACCTGTCAACCCTTGTGAGCTCATGAAATAGCTCTCTGGTCAGTAGCAAAGTGCAAATGCCCCCCCTACAAACACCCGTCGCCGAGCTACGCCGCGTTTCCTTGAGAACTTTCAGAAACTTTGTGAAATAGTCAACTAACCCCCATTAAAGTTCACCCATCGTGGAGTAAAGTTTGAACAGAATCTCAACAAGAACTTTGCTTCCTCTTCCCACATGCCCTTAGGCAGCTGACCTATCGTATAACTAAGTGTCGGAGGATCTCCATTTAACAAAAGAACGAAGCCTCTACTTTTCAACTCACAGTAGTGGAGAGACGAATGCCAGTTTGGTCCTGTTTGTGCCAATGTCCGGAAGAACGGTCAGCCGACATGCAGCACCAGTAACGACATCACGACCCTGAAAAAATTTTCCAACAAACATCCTTTTGATGCTTTCTTTTATGCGACTCCTTGTTGACGATCCTGATCGACACAGCGATAAGGGTCTCACCTCATAATATCAATGAGTGGAGGAAAATTATTTGCTTTAGGTCAGCTGCCTAAGGGCATGTGGAAGAGGAAGCAAAGTTCTTGTTGAGATTCTGTTCAAACTTTACTCCACGATGGGTGAACTTTAATGGGGGTTAGTTGACTGTTTCACAAAGTTTTTGAAAGTTCTCAAGGAAACAAGAAGGAAGGCGGCGTAGTTCGGCGACGGGTGTTGTGTAGGGGGGGGGGAGCTTGCACTTTGCTACTGACCAGAGAGCTATTTCATGAGCTCACAAGGGTTGACAGGTTTTATCATGGTAGCTCGACGAGCCTACTCTAGCTTAACAAGAGTTCACAGGCTTTACCAGAGTGAAACCTGTAACCGGAACTAGTGCGCAGTGAAAGTGCAAAATGCTCCCCCCTCTCGTCGCCGAACAGCGCCCAAAAAGGCTGTATCGGCGTGGGAAGGACCACAGAAAAAAGGTTAGTAATGTGCGAACATATTTTGAAAGGGTAGGTACAAACCTGTTCGCTGAGTGAGAACGCATTGCTAGAGTCGTACACTTCTTGACATTGCACTTTTTCGCCGAATAGCGAGAAATTGAAGGAATGGTAGTAAGAAGCTCCTTCTCTTGCGAATACTTTCACGCCCGTAGTGGTCCATGTTCTGGAATGATCACATGAAATGTATGGT